TTATTTATTCATTATGTATACAGTGATCTGCCTGCATGTATGTCTGCAGGCCAGAAGAAGGCACCAGATCTCATTACAGATGGTTGTGAGCCACCATGTGGTTGCTGGGAATTGAACTCAAGACCTCTGGAAGAACAGCCAGTGCTCTTAACCTCTGAGCCATCTCTCCAGCCCCTACCTCATTCTTATAACTTACACATGACATGTTTTAAAATTTGTGTTTAATATACTTAAATATTTTCAACTTCCAAATGTTAGGCATTGAATGCCTCTGACCCACGATCCTTCGCTATCCAGTTCCCCCATCCCAGATGACAGCTAATGTTAGTCAACTTATGTGTGCTGTCAAATATTTTGGATATGTACAGGCAAATATATTTCTAGATTATTTTCTCCCTTTTATACAATAGTAAAATATTATAAATGCTGATCAGATAATAGGTTCTGATGCCTTCTTCTCTTTCTATATATGCTAACCAAATGACCTGTATGTCCAAATTCACACCCTGCCCCCAATTCATTTAGTTTTTAGTTTTTATGTTTTGCTTGCATGGTGCCATGGAGCCAGAAGAGGGTGTCTGAGTCCCCTGGAACTGGAGATAAGTATGGTTGTTAGTCACCATGTGGGTGCTGGGAACTAAATCCAGGCTCTCTGTAAGAGCAAGAGCTCTTAACCACTGAGCCATCTCTTCAGCCCCTCAATTCACACCTTTTCAAAACCCTTTGAAAACCTAATACAAACATGTCTATTCTCTCTCTTCTCTGAAAAGCCTTGTACGAGTCTCTTGCTACAGTATACTATAACTGATTTTTATATTCTTGTCTCTCTTCTTGTTAAAATATATACATTAAAGGCATAGGGGCTTTATCACTAATTCCCTCCTGCCAAATACACCTAGTCATTCAATAAATGACTGTCTAAATTAACATCAACATGCTTTATTTTAAAATGCAATTTATGTTTTCAGCATCAACACTTCCTTTCAGAGAGCAATCATTAGATCACATACGTGAAGAGTCAACTGAGCATGTAAGAGGAAACAACCCGCGTATTTCTCCTCAGATTCTACAATTAGCCTCAAATGATGTGCAACCCGATAACACTTTCACCCTAACTGGCATAATAAAGTAAGAAGCTTTAGGTGTTGGTATAGACTTAAGATCTAACTGTGAGACTATCAGTTAACTCAAAATCAGAGCATCCAGGGAATTATAGGCAAAGGATGAGTAGAGATAAAAGTTCATTTCTGCAGTCTTCCAAATCCCTCTCTCACTTTAAAAAAAAGAAAAAATGTCATTTATCATTTTCTGCTGACTAGCTAAGAAAGACACAAATGAGCATTTAAAAAAAGAAAAAGAAAAAGAAAAAGAAAAGGCCTCAAGAAAGATGGAAACGCAGTGAGTGGGACATGCCACCTCCTGGACACCAACCTGTGAACAATTAGAAAGGTGCAGAAAGTGCAGCTTTAAAAGGCCACATATAAACTATCTTCAGAACAGTTTTACTCACGGGAGAACCATTTGCCTCTTATCTCAACGAGCTCAATTATCTTAAAATCTCACTCTTTATTCAAAAGGCCTCATTTCTATTGGTAGTGTTTAATTCTGTTTGTAAAATAACAACTCATTCAAAGTAAAAGGACTAATAATAAAGCCCGCTACAAACGTGTGCCAAAACCTCTACCACTGTGATTATTACTGTACTCACGAATTAACAAGTGTCAGATTCCAAAAAGGCAACTTGAACCAAAATAACTAAATACCCACTGCTCAACAAAAAGAAGCCCAATAGCTCTTTCGTGCTAGGGACACTAATTTTCTCTTTCTAGTCAGTTTCATGAGGCAGGAGACACATCTGTGAGGTCCATATGCTTTGTTCCTGACATGAAGAATGACAATTTCTACTACTGCAAATATTAAAATAGATTCAATGATTATGGGAAATCTAAAAATAAATGGAAGCTATTGCTCCAAAATGATTTACTTTAACCAAAGTGTTCATTTAATATAGTGCTAAGTGGCCTATTTCCATCTATTGAGAGTTTCCAAATTATTAAATGGTAGGCCATAAAAGGAAATTACAATGAACTCTATTTCCAGTTTAAGAAGACTAAAGTTCATATATTTAACCATTAAGATTCTAATGCACATAAACCAACATCACATCAGTTTATTAGCTTAGGAATTAACAGTAACTTGTTAAAATCTCCAGTAGCATCTGAAATCCAGTGTTCCCATTCCCTCATCACCATGGTGGCAAAAATCAAGGTAAGAATTCTCTTACTAGAATATCCCTGGGAAAGGATACTCCAGCAATTTAAACCTCAGCTTCTGAATGTAAATAAGAGCAGCATCACACAGGCCCCTTCTATAAGGACCTGTACACAGAAGCAATCCTGACTTCCATCCTTCATCCTACAGAAAAAAATCTGCTGTGATCTTACAAGTCTACTAAGAATGCACGTGATCAAAACCTATTATGTACAGTGCATAGGCGTTATTATAATAGATATTCCAGAATTAAGAGATTCATTTAGAAATCCTAAGAAAAATCCTGCCGGAGGGAAATTTCTGCGGACAGCTGTGCCATTTGTCATCATCATCATCATCATCTCTCTCTCTCTCTCTACAGCTGGTCATGAATGAAATTCTAGATTCTACTACGCAGAACAAATGAAGCAATTAATTGAAAGCGTTCAAACTGACACGGAGGCGGCGGGGGCGGTGAGAGGGAGGCAGATCCTGTGAAACCCAGTGAGAAAACAAAATAACCACGAAACAGATTGCGCACGCCACTGATTGCATTAGATATCTTAATAGACTGTGCAGGTCACTGGCTGTTCGGAGGCATGCGAAAACCCAGAAAACCCAGGTACACACACCCACACAGGTACACACACACACCCACGGACTCCGAACCTACAGAACAGGTGGATCCGCAAATAAAAAAAAAATCTCCACAGGAAGGAACTGAATAGTTTTCGGTTTAATTATTCATCGGGCCAGCCTTTCACTTCACCCAGAGGTAAAAAACCCCAGAGCCTCTTTCTAAATCAGCCTTGGCAACTCTGCACACGCTGGGTTTCTTTCCAGAAAAAAAGCGAAATCTGACATGTCTATCACTGGGCGCGAAGAGAATCCATCTCCTTGCAAGCAAAGGAGGGTCGCAGGAGAACCGGGTTTGGGGATGGGAACCGGGGCTGGAGCTCTCGGGGGATGAGACACGCAGTGCCCAGCGGGTCAGAAGTCGGGGTCCGGGATCTGGGAGCCCAGGAATGGGGGGCGAAGGGGCCGCGGCGGCGGCGGCGGCGACAGGACGCCCTACCCAGCACGAGGCAGGAGACTGGCTTCAAGTGCCCGGAGGGCTGCGCGACCCGGGAGGGATCGTCGTTCGGGGCTGAGCCCCGGAGGAGCCCGCGAGCGAGCGCACAGGTGAGGGAGGGAGGGAGGGCGGGCCGTACCTGGTACTCGGGGTACTCGAACATGTAGCTCATGCTGCACTTGTTCTCCTCGAAGCCGAAGAAGACATCCCACAGCCCCAGGGTGGCCAGGAGCACCATGAAGACGTAGAACGCCAGGTTCCAGAGGTTGACGGAGTGGAGAAACATGGTGCAGCCGAGCTCCCCCCCTTCTACGGCTGCAAGGAGCCCGGGAGCCCAGGCAGACAGAGCGAGGGAAAGACGCCCGTGCCAAGCCGTGCCCAGCGGAGCAGCGCGCGCCTGCGCGGAGCCCGCCAGCTCTCCCCCCCCC